TTTTAATATATTATAATTTATTTATTATATAACATTTATGATAACAAATAATATTTTATTATGGCAAATTATACTGCATTATTAAAGTTATTATATATATTATAATAGTTATAATAACATGAACAAAATGTCTTTTGATCTGTTGATGCTCTGTGTACTCAAACAGCGCTAGTTCGTTTACAAAAATCAAAACTTTTGGGTGATGTCTGACATACTGCTTTTTTACGTTTTTTAAGTTTTTTTTAAGTTTTTTTTAAATTTAATTTTCTTTTTCAGGGTTCATTTTTGTGATACATCTAAATAACACTAAGATCAGATTAATAAATCATTATTTACAGTAAAAAGAAAAGAAAAGAAAAGAAAGTATGCAGAGTGTTGAAAAATTGTATGCAGAGCAAGCATATAGAGCATGCAGTTGCAGATAATCAGGATGTAGTGATATAGAAGAAAGTGTAGGTTAGATGTAGATAAAGTTAAAGAATACATTGCAGGCAATATAAAAAACTATAGATTTTTATAGATATTTTGTAAACAAGTATGAAAGTATATAATCACAAATGACCCTTATCATTGTAATTTTGTGTTTTTCGTGTCAAAAGAGGAGCATTTTTGTGGAATAAATCCATGGTTTCAGCTGGCAGCTTTTCCAGGGAACTTTGAAAACATCTATCTAATTGTCCAGCATAGCGCTGAAAGAATCAGATGGAGGTACATTTAAAATTCAAGGTTGATTTGAAACTGAAACCAAGGCATGAACCTGAGAAAAAACATTTAATAGTAGTATTTCATTTTAAAAGTTACAATCAAAATTAATGTATATATAAATTCAAATAAATAATTAAATAATAATTTAACAATTATTAACATAAAAATTTCTATTCTACAGATAACTTTGTCAAAAACCACAATTTTAAATAATTTAAATAAAGATCAGATAACAAGAATAATAATTAAGAGAGGTTTTTTAGACTGCACTACAAAAAAGTAAATTTAAAAATACATCTAACATGCGTTTATCCTCCATGTGGTTCATCCTCCTTTGAATAATTGCCATATAGAGGCTACATACAGCGAAGACGAGTTCAGCTCACTAATCTTCATAACCCCTTCCCAGACCAAGGGTAAGTGATTTTTAGAAGAATAAAGGATATTAGAGAGAAAGTTAGAAGTCAAGTAAGAAAGTTGGCATAGAGACAGCAGACAGTATTGCACTAGGTGTTAGAACGTGCAACTTATGTTCAATATCAAATTCACTTGATAGGAATCCTTGTTATGTATAAAGCTTTACATAATTTACGTAAATTTTATTTTATATATATATATATATATATATATATATATATATATATATATATATATATATATATATATATATATATACATACAGTGTTGGCGAAAAGTATTGTAACTTTTCTAAATTTAACATTTTTATAAAATTCGAAATGAATTTGATGTTAAATATCATATATTCATACAAAAATGATAAACCAAACAGTAGCACACTATATAAACATAAAATTATGACATTATTATAGTTAAATGTGCTGCATTATAGATTTTTCTTATGAAACCATACTTGGGAATAGCATAGAAAATTTTCATTTTTTTTCGCTCTTTGAGAGGTGTTTAATCATAATGGGTCTGGCAAAGGAGATTTCACCAAGAAAATGTGTGATTATTATTCAATATTGGAAGGATGGTATGAAGAAGCGAGATATTTCTAAGAAATTGTGTTTAACTAAGTCTTCAGTTAGTTGAATAACTAAGAAATACAAAGCTTCCCGGTCAGCATCACCACTGAAACGTTCTGGACGACCCAGAGTAACAACAACACGTGATGACTCTCTACTGCGACGCTCTGCGGTCAGAAATCCGACTTATTAAAGTCTTCAAATAAAGCTAGACACTGGTAGTGGTGCGAGTACACAAACAATACGTGACCGACTGTGTTCATTTGGTTTAAGAGCTCGACGTCCATCCCGCAAACCTCTGCTATCTAAGCAGCGACAGAAAAGAGTTCAGTTTTGTAATAAATATAAGGACTGGAATGCAGAAAGATGGTCCAAGGTGTTGTTTTTCGACGAGTCTACATTTCTGCAGTTTGGATCTGTCACGCAGTATGCCAGTTGGATCTCGAGATGATATTCGTTACATCTTGCCAACAGTTAAACATTCACCCCAAATTATGGTTTGGGGATGTTTTTTAGTAATGGGGCAAGGGTCTCTATACTTTATACCAGCAAAATAGATAGTAAACTCCATTGAATACCTAAAGATTTTAAATTCAAAACTACCCCTAGCCATGCGCTTGCATTGTTGTGAACTGTTTCAACAAGACTCGGCACCATGCCATACCAGTCGAGTTGTAAAAAAGTGGCTAACTGACAATGTGATTCAAGTTCTGGACTGGCCAGGCAACAGCCCAGATTTGAATCCCATTGAAAATCTCTGGACACTGATGAAAAGAAAAGTAAGAAAATATTACAGTAAAAGCATTGAAGAACTCATTTACATCATTAAGAAGGTGTGGTGCACTGAAATCACCCCAGATCTTTGTCAAAAACTGGTTCAGTCGATGCCAAACCGTATCAAATGTGTGTTGAAAAACCATGGACAGCCTTCTAAGTACTAGATATTTATACACAAACACTTTTTTAATAATACTCTTGCGTATTTGTTTAATGTGTGTTTTTTTTTAAAAAGTTGCAATACTTTTCCCCAACACTCTATATATATATATATATATATATATATATATATATATATATATATATATATATATATATATATATATATATATATATATATACCCTTATAGTGTAGTCGAAAGAGCGTTTTAATGTAAAAAAAGTCTCTTACGACTACAATTTTAATTACCTCGTCTCTTAAGCTGTTTTTGATTGTCATCGAAATGTCAAAGCAATTAATTTATGCGGAAGTACATTAAATTTAATTGTTTTTTAAAAAATTTTTAAAAAACCGCAATTATAACGACTAGAAAGTTTTTTTTAATTAGTGGTGTTTTTGTTATTGATTTAATAAAAAACATTTTTTAAACATGCGTAAATGTTGCTACATCGACTATCTTATAGCCTGACTCGCAACGGAGTGCTGCTACATCGACTGACAAATAGCCTGACTCGCAACGGAGTGCTGCTACATCGACTGACAAATAGCCTGACTCGCAACGGAGTGCTGCTACATCGACTGACAAATAGCCTGACTCGCAAGGGAATGCTGCTACATCGACTGACAAATAGCCTGACTCGCAAGGGAGTGCTGCCACAACGACTGACAAATAGCCTGACTCGCAAGAGAGTGCTGCTACATCGACTGAGGGTTTGGTTTGGCCAGGCAGTCTATCAATTAAAAAAAAAAATTTAATTTTTAAAACTTTTTCTGGTCTGGTTTATTAACGCGCTCTTTAAAACTACAGTTTATGGGAAATATTTTTTGATGCTACGCAAGAGACATGCAAGACTATATATATATATATATATATATATATATATGTATACATATATATATATATATATATATATATATATATATATATATATATATATATATATGTATACATATATATATATATATATATGTATACATATATATATATATATATATATATATATATATATATATATATATATATATATATATATATATATGTATATGTATACATATATATATATATACATATATATATATATATGTGTATATATATATATATATATATATATATATATATATATATATATATATATATATATATATATATATATATATATATATATATATATAATAGATTTTATTTTTTTTATCCATTTATTTAACCAAAATGAATTGAGAAAAATTACAGATTTATTTATAATTTACAAAAATAGGTTCGGTGTCACTTTTAACAAATAAAGTAAAAAACAAACAAGCGACAAAAAGTAATAATATCGGTAGTGACCAAATAAAAAAGAAAACAAAAAGATATATACACAAAAATACACGACAATATAAACAATTCAAACAACATTAATTATTAAAACTTAAAAATTGTTTTTTTTTTTTTTTTTTTTTTTTTTTTTTTTTTTTTTTTTTTTTTGCTTTCTTTTAAAAACTATTAAACTTTTTTTTTTTTTTAAAATCTCAACTTGAGATTTTTAAAAATAAAAAAAACTTTAATAAGTTATTAAAAGAAAGCAAAAATAAAAACAACAATTTTCAAGTTTTAAAATTTGTTTCTTAAAACAAGAAACATATTGCTTGTTTTAAAAATTAAATTACCCATCTAGAAAATTATTTTCTAAAACAACAAATATATTTCTTAAACTATAAACACTAGATTTACAATATTGCTGTAAATCTTAAAACCAGAAACATTTCCTACACTTCTTAAACTGTAATTTATTTCTTAAAACAAGAAATATATTTCTTGTTTTAAAAAATAAATTGGGGGATAGGAAACTTATTTCTTAAAACAAGATAAATATTTCTTGTTTTAAGAACTAAATGTCTTAAACTATGGACTTAGGATTTTGGATTAGATTTAGGATTAGGTTAGATTTTGGATTAGATTTGGATTAGATTTAAGATTTTGCTGTGAAGAAAGATGTTATATTTATTTATATATATATATATAGATATATAGATATATAAATATGCTATAGTAGATCCATAGATTTCATCTTTTTTGAATCTAATTTATGGTCGATTATGTTTTGCATTACATGCATTTTTTTTTTGACAGGTTTTGTTTTTATTATATGTTTTAATATAATATATTTTTCTCTAGTTATATATTTTGTTGAAATATAATTACTTGCTTTGATATTTGGATAATATTAGTTTTCGTAGTTAACCTTATGAAATTAAATCGTAAAAACCGTCTTACTGTTTTTCAGACTTGTAAGCAATAAGTCCGGTTGTGTATTTAAGTCCGGCCGTGTAGATCTCATTTAATTAATAGTCATGATTTTAGATCACTTTGTTTTATCTTATTTTTATTATAGGTTCATTAATGCCCGACGAAGAATATTGCAACCAACTTCATCTTTAAAGAATAACAAAAAGTCTAAGCAGAAAAATGCTGCTCAGAAAGATTGGACTAATACTATAGGAGTATATAATGCTTACCGAACTGAAGCTTTGCAGCAACACGGAGGTATAACTCCGCAACATATTGATTTCATTACACCTCAGAATGCAACAATGCTTGTAAATATTGCTGGAAATGATGATCAAGTTGTTTTACCACAAACGCTTCAACTTGTTTCACAGATTCGTGATATTTCAAATGGATATTTACCTGTTATTTCACAAACCTCGCAAGCCTCGAACTAAAATATTTGAACAGAATGTTTTTTACTTTTTTTACATGGATTATAATTATTGTATAAAGTTTATAATAATGAGAAAATATTTATTTTTTACAAATTTTTAAGTTTTTTTATCTACCAGCATATAATTTTTGTTTACTTTTACTTAATAAGTAGAGAACATTATAATTTCAAGTGAAAAAAACAAGTTTTTTAGAAAATTTATGGACTTAAATACTTTGTAAGAAAAGAAAAAAGGTTCTAGCTCTTTTAGTCTATAACAATGTACAAAATAAGGACGTTTTTTAATTTTATTTAAAAAGAATTTAAAGCAAACCGACAGCAATAAATTAATCCTAAATAAGTTTAAAAAGAGACTTTATAAAAGTCTTAAATTTTCTATAAACAAAAAAAAAAAACTTTAGGATATTTTTTAAAAACACAAGCAAAAAAAGTTGTACCTAACAAAAATAAATTTTTATTTCATTTAAAACCTATAGATTTAAAACTTATAGATTTTTAAAGATGAGATTTTTATAAAATACTTCGATTTAAGTTTTACTAATACTCCTTAACTATGTTGAGCAGGGTTTCTACTTATAGCTTGGATACTATCAAGTTTAACAATGATATAAGTTGGGTTAATATTTAAAATTGATTTCTCCAAAATTAACTATATTGAAATATTTTAAAGGAACCACAAAAAGTACAAAAGAAACTAAAGAACCTAAAATACACACCTTTTTTAGACAAATAAAAACAAGTTTTATCGGTTTTAAATAATTTTTTCATCCATAATCTTCAACTTCTAAAATTTCAAAATGATACAAACTGTCAATTATATTTAAAATTCACATGCCATTTAAGTTAGGTAATAATTTCGTAAGGTTGATTTAATACTTCACAGGTCATTCTTTCCAATAAATTTTACATTTAAGTTAGGTAATAAAAATAATTTCGTAAGGTTAATTTAATACTTTACAGGTCTTTCCAATAAATTTTATATTTGTATATTCCCATTTCTTTGAATTTTAAAGGAGTTTTTCCATAAATTTAACAACACATTCAGCAATAACATTTTTTCTTGGAATATGAACAGCACCATCTTCTTTCCTACAATGTTCCGCAAAGTTTGTCACAAAGAAAGAAACTTGTTTTTTAAATTTAAAAAAAAATTAAAAACTGGTGTTTATTACATACAGATAAAAATTTAAAAACTCAAGTAAGCATTTAATTTTGTGATACTAAGTCTTTATGTACAAATAAATCAGTTAGAATCTGTAAACGTTATATAAAAAGGTATTGAAATTGAAACACAGAAAAACATTTCTAATAAAAAAAAAAAAAATTAAACAACTTTTAAAAGAAAACAATTAAAAAAAGAGCTCTTTTCATTTTTAGAGATTTATATTTGTTTAAATTTTTCTTCTAACATTTGTTTTTAATCTTTCTTTGCCTTTTTTTGCTCTCTTTCTTTTTTAAGGCAATTCTCATTATTAATTTCCTATAATCTGCACAAATATTTTTTTTGTCTTTGTAAACCAGGCTTAGCAAATTTGTTATCGAAGGACCGTTAAAATGTAATGCATTTTTTACCATTATCATAAATGCTAAGAAAGTGTAGGTATTTTTCAGAAATACACTTTGCCTAAAATTATAGATGATTCTTTCAAAAAAGTTAAATATATTCTAGGTTTTTCCAAAGTTAATTTATTGTATGTCCTTCCGTTACAAGTTGTAACGGAAGGACTTAGAAAAATCGTATCTTATACTTGATACTTGATACGTGATACTTTAATCGTATCCGTTGTAACTTACAACGGATACGATTAAAGATTCACATAACAAACTTAGTATAATTAACAGCCCTGCATTAAAGTTTAAGATTAAAATAGAAAATTTAACTATTCTGCTAATTCTAAACCAGTAACGGATCCAGGGATGCATACCCCCCTCCCCCCCCAGAATTTGAAAATCCTAAAAATATCTTAGAAATTGAAGAACTTTTTTTTTTGAGACGCAAATAAGGCGCATAATACAAAGATATTTCAACATTCCTCTAACCCTCCCCCCACCACCACCATCACCAAAAATTCTTGGATCTGTCACTGTTTTCAACACTTTTCAATACATCCTTTTGGTTTCTTTACTCTATAAACTAATAAAACTTTTTTTTTAAAGTTATTGTTTTAAAAAAAAATTGTATAAAACTTATTAAAATAAAAAAATAATAATAATAAAAACACAGAAGAATTTGCGTGTATTACTCTTGCTAATATAAAGAAATACTTTATTAAGAAAAACAGTTGTTAGAATCACCAATCCAAAAACAGCATTTTTTGAGGTTCGCATAATCAACAACAACCTTTCTTTTCATGGTAAAGATGCAATAACAACTAAGGTTGTTAGGTATGTGTTTAAGCAATTGGGACAAAACTAATTGACTTAGGTGTTGCATATTTTGTAACTGTTTCAGTCTACTGCCATGCTATACGGCTTTCAAAAAATAATATAAAATAAATAAATCAATACTTTAAAAGTGAACTATAAATAAACAAAAAACAAGGAAAAACTAACAATTACTACAAAGTCGGACAAAAGTTACACAAATTTCGAATGTTTACATACAATTTGAATTTGAAAAACTAGCATCTTTCTTTTCGACAGACCCAATAAAGGTTAAAATAAATTAGTAAAGACATATTCTTTTAATGCACTTGAAACTTCAATAAAAACTCAAATCAAAATATTTATATAATATTTATTATATAAATAATTTTAATACCAACAACTTCATCGTTATTAATTATTGTTAAAACTTCAATAAAAACTGTATCAAATCTTTAAGTTCAATATCAACGACTTCATCGTCATTAACTATACCCTTAGCTTCAGCTTTAACTTTGATATCAACACCGCTAAATACTTTTGAGCACTTTTAAGAATTTCAATCTAATGCCAAAAAAAACAAAAGGAGAATCGTATAAACATTTGTTTTGAATCTAAAACTGTCTGGTTGGAAATTGTTTAAAGACTAACTAGTGATATTTGTAACGATAAAAACAGCGACTTGGCCACGAGAATTACCAGCTAAAGAAGCTAGCAACTGGATAGCGACGAGTCATAACGATAAAGATAACAATTTGACCACGAGGATCACGAACTAGATAAGGTAACAAAAATTTTCATTACATTATTATATTAATTATTCATATTATGCTATCATTTTGCTATTATTACCAAATTACATATTTTGCCAAACATAAACTAGTTTACTTACGCATATATTCGCAGACGGCTTTAAAAACCAACTTAACATAACACGCAATACTCATAGATTTTTATTTATACCGCCCACACTTTTTATTTTCTGCTTGTGGTTGTATCTTGTTTAAAAGTTTAATAGTTTTATTAATGTTGATTGCTACAAAGCCTCAATTTATATAGTGGGGTGTCCCAGAATTTTTTTTTTTAAAAACAACTATGTTCTCTATGACGATTCTCCTTATTGGATCTTAGTAGCACAACATAAGTATTTATAGTTTCTAAGACATTGTTTTAAGTGAGGATGTTCCAGAAAAAAAAAATCTATAAATTGCAATGAGGTTGCGAGATATATTTACATTTTATGAATGAAACTCTTAATTATTTTGTAAAAATGTTTGTTTTTATTAGATATTTTTATAAAATTGTTAAATTAAATCCAAGTACATTGACCAATGCATTATTCTGACTGAATAGTTGCTTAATTTCTAAAATTTTCATGGTTTTACATTTTTTATGACAACTGCATTGTTTTCCAATGTTTTTAATAATGATATATACGGATAAATAATTCTCAGTTGTGGAAAGTTCAAAGGTTGTTCAAATCCAACATCATCGTGTTTTGGAACCAGTATTCTGAATGTGTATTAGCTATGAAATCCTGCACCAATTTAATGTTTCTTTCAGCCTTTTTATCAACTTTTTATTAGTCAGCTAAAGTAAAGATTACACACTGTAGGGGGAAATACTAGTGTCCAAAAACATAAAGATTAAGGGCTTTACCAGTTTAAACTTCCTGAAGTAAAGTGGATTTATAATGATCTGTTATGATTTTGAATGCTCTAAGATTATTGGCTGGAACCTGAGCAGCCAACGGGCTCTTTGCTCTCAAGAAGAACAAACAATGAAAGATTACTAAATAATCTGTTGCATCCTGTTTGTCGTAATTCCTGATTGCTGATAGAAACAATGTGTAAGCCATGAACTGGTTCTGCACCAGGTTGTAGAAATCAGAATTTTGGTAATTCTGGTTTTTAAAACCCCAAATAATTCTTCTCCAAGTTTAGTTTTTTGTATAAAGATTGACTAGGTATCTTGGTTCCTTCCTTTATTTTTATCATGACATGACGTTGGAACAGTACAATAACATTTTTTTAGATATATTTTTTTCATTGTAAAGATGAATTGCAATACGATATTTGTAATTATTTTATTACAATATTAAAATACGATATTTATTATTATGAGGTTGTCCATTAATTACGTCAACAAAATAGGGGGAGGGGGGTCTGAACTTTTTGTCAATTGTTGACAAGGAGGAGGGTGGAGGTCAATTAAAGTTGATGTCAACTATTTTTTTTTTTTTTTGAGTTTCTTTGCTTAAATAATGGAAAATTAGGCTGATTTTGTAGCTTAGTTTCTTTGTATAGGGGGAGGGGGGTAATCAAAAATTGACGTAATTTTATATGAAGGGGGGGGGGGTCTCTGGAAATTTGACAAGGGTAAAATTTCAAAAAAATTGTTGACGTAATTAATGGACAGCCCCTATTGTGCAATATTAAATAATTCTAAATCATAGATATCTTTTTTTTTTTAATTAATACAATAACAATAGTTATTGTTTCTATTTTTGTCCGAACCCTAAATAGCTAGCAATAAAGCTACGATATTCAGTTGTATTTTTGATAGTTACAAAGCTACAATATCCAGATAGCGACATGTCATAAATAAAATCACTATGTTATAAGTTCAATTATTTTCATAAATATATTAGATCCAATGCTAAAAAAAAAAAAAATTTATGGCGTAAAAGACAAAACGTAAGAATAATATAAGAAAGTCACTAGCTCATTT